CGCCATATTATAGGAAAGGTCTGAAATGAATTAATTTCGATTATCCCCAATGTTCACCTATCCAGAAGACGGCCGGTCACAAAACCTGGAGCGAGCCATTTTGCATCTTTCCGACATGGCATAGCAGCTGAGGTGGCTGAAGCGCCGGAACCAGGACACGTGGTGAAAGGATGTGAAAGCAAAAACTGGAGTCACCGACTGCGAGCTCTGCTGGACTCCCCCACATCTACGACTCCCAAGTGCAGCTTTGGGTTTCGAATTTAGGGCAGCGGCCATGGAATGGAGCATCTTTATGTGCGCGTATCAAGTACTTGACGATTCATTCCAGACTCGAATGCTTAGGTGCAACGTGGTTTTCATGCTGTTGTAAGGCTAGGGCTTGGCACAATCTTGGCACCGAGTCGCACTGTGTGCGCGGCAAGCGTGAAGGCAGGACGGCGTGAGAACAACAGGAGCGGTTTAGGGTCAGGGTTTACGGTTTGGAGTTTAGGGTTTAGGGTTTATAAGTTTAGGGTTCTCCGATGAATTGTCAACTCAAAGATTAGGGACTGCTTGTGTGCAAATCGTCAAACCGTCGCATTGTCCTCCACAGCTTCCGCGGACAATTGCTGCATTAGTGCACGGTCTGCATCAGCAGAAAGGTGCGCATGCAGCAGCTACATCAATCAGCGAGGATGCTGCAACCGATAGTCCTCTATTTGGGAACGGCCCGCGCTTGACAATCAATGAGGCAGGAGTAGTTTCCAAAGTCCTAGCAACCTATGGCTGAAGATATGAAGTAGTTTTGTCTAGTCTCCCAAAAGGACACCCCGTATCACACTCACCAGTATTTCCACGTAATGCTAGATACACAACTCTACTTCGTATGCTTTCAAGCAGAACACGTTGGTGGGCAAAGCTCATGGCGTTGCTCATCATGTTCTGTTGAAGATGACCTGCGTGGGCGCGCATGCATCGTCTTGTATATCCGACATGTCGACATGACCACAAAGAAGCTCCGAAACACTCGGCAGATGGTCAATGGATTGTCCCAAACCTTTTTTGGCACACGGCTTGCGTAGTCCGCCCGAAAATGCAGAACCCAACTCTTTGCTTTTACAACCCAGGACTGCTGAGGGTCTGATGCGAAGGAAAAGAAAACAACCCTAAACCCTGAACCCTAAACCCCAAACCCAAAGTTGCGAACTCCACGACATGCCGTGGCCTGGCGAGGCACCCAGGGTGGGAGCTTCTTGGATCGAAAGACGTCTCCGCCTGGCGGCGCAATGTGCCGTTCTTCAAACTAGGGTTTGGGGTTTAAGGCTTTTTTTAGGGTTTAGGGTTTAGGGTTTACGGTTTTTTGTAAGGAATCTAAGTAGAAACGCACCTGTAAGGTTAGAAAAACCCTCCTGCTGAAACGCCCATTCGCATTTCAGTCAGCAAAGTTCGCATTTTTCTCGGGTGCTGTTTGCAAAGTTCTGGCTGATGCAGGCCAATACCCCTTCAATTGACGAGTTAAGACACGTTGGTGCGCGAAACTTGCTCTCTCGGCTGTGCTCCCAGATACTATATTATATTAGATTACATGAGACTATATGGTATTATCATTATTATGATGATTATTATTATTAATATTATTATTATTATTATATATATGCATGTATACGTACACGCACATTCCTT